ATATATATATATATATATATATATATATATATATATATATATATATAGTGCGTTATTATTAACATTCAAAAACGCGATGTGCAAAAAAACCTATTCTGAACTAATAAATAAAACACATAGGAAAACAGTATAGTTTCTCACGAGTACAGTAAATATTAGCAGTCATTATGCATATCAGATCTTTCATTCTATGACGTGATTGAGTAATGAGAGGAATAAAAATGCATGTAACTTACTAATCAGATGCGAAGAATATTATCGTCGATATAATTGTTGCCCAAAAGGAAATCATCGCATCGTCAAATAAGAATCTGTAATAAAACATAGAATACATATGATTTGCTTTCAAAAATGGTATTAATCATTTAGAAAGTTTAAAATAAGGAAAATTTCTAGTTAGAATTAAAGGATAAAGTTAAATGAAATATAAAATATAAAGTCTCTTACTATTTCTAACTTTGAAACATCATTGGTTTCTTTCCAAAGAATAAGAAGGAGCAATGAGAAACCTTTAACAAAATATAAATTATTAAATATAATATCTAATCAAAATCTAATTACTATAAATTGAGACTCTAACATAAAAACTCAAAGTCGACAAATTAAACATTACTTACAAGTTAAGCATTTCATATTAATCAAATGTCGCGCCCTCTTTTAGTCCGTTAAATAAAGCTGCGCAATACGCAAATGATGTAATGCGCAGAACATTCAAATTTATCCGTGATAGCGTTCCTTTCTGGAAATTATTTATTAAAACAATCATATATGAATCGAATACCAATCATTCAATTAAAAAATCCAAACATATAAATATATCTACTTTTGTTAAAATAAATCAAATATTATCTTATCTCCATAAGAAACTGTCGAATTTATCATTGGTCACTGGTGGCATCTTTTTGAATTTCGATTATTGAGTTTCCTTCAATAATCTTCCCTTAATAAATCAATCAATAATCTATATAAAAGAAAACCAAAAACTTTCAAATAAATGTATAAAAAGAACAAATTATATAAAAATTAAATAGTGAACTCACAATACAAACTAGTAAATGTGACGACTAAGAAAGAAAATCAAAAAAAAATTTAAAAACAAATTATAATATTCGATAAATTTTTAAATAAAAGTTAAACGACGTACGTTAATTCAACGATATTTTAGTAGCGTTAGTATAAACGATGAAACACGCGAGATCTTAACGCCGCCATCTTCAACAATAGACTAACCCTACGCGCAACAGTTTGCGCTGCAAATTTGATGTGGTGGGGGCTTGAGCGCGCACGAATAGAATTCAACTGACAATGAATTACAGAGAAACGAGAATATTTTCATTTATATATGAATATCTATGAAAGTATTCGAATACTTTTATAAATATATTACATTGTGTTATGCAAAACATGTTATATAAGATAATATATTGACTGAATAAAACTCATTTGAATTAATAATTTATCTTACAACAATTGTACATTGAAATAATAAAACATTGCAAAAATACAAGTTTTATATATATTGTAACAAAACTTTTATATAAATTGTAATAAAGTTTAATAAATAATTTAATAATAAGGAAGATCAACGTTTATTTAAATTTATTACCGTGAGATGACGTTAGTTAAATAGTTAAAAATACAATATTAAAACAATTATAATTAAAATATAAATTTACGAAATAAAATTAATGAATATAATGCTTGTAATCACTATAATACAACTGCAAAAAAAGATACAGTTAATGAAACTTTGTACCTTACAATTAAATTGCGTGCGCAGGTATATACATATCGTGTAGAGACAGACCGACATAACCTTGTTGATTTGTAACCAACTCTAGCATATGACATACTTTTCTCATAGAAATTTTTGCTTAATCGTACTTAAAAGTCGAAAAGTAATTAAAAATAAAGGAAAATGACAACAGAGAAAGTTGAAATTGATACATCAACGTTAAATGGAAAAACAGATGAGGAGGATATTGTAACACCTTGGGATGTTGCAACTAAAAATGAAACTGGAATTGATTATGATAAGCTTATTAGTGAGTTTCACAAAGAATATCTTCCATAACAAGTTTTAAAAAGTATTTTGTCATACAAAATAAAATTACATCATTATTTATAATCTTTGTTTCATAGGTTATAAATCCTTCATATTTTTTTAAAGAAAATTTAATATGCATATTAAATTTTATTTAATTTTTAGCATAATTTCACTTTCCTAAAAAATTTCTTTCTTTTTTTTATTATAGAAAGATTTGGAAGTTCCAAAATCGATGGGGAACTATTGGCCAGATTTGAGAAAATTACAGGACAAAAACCACACCACTTCCTCAGAAGAGGAATATTCTTTTCTCATCGAGATATGAATACTATTTTAAATTTTTATGAACAAGGAAAACCTTTTTACCTTTATACTGGTAGAGGACCTAGTTCAGATTCTTTGCACTTAGGACATCTTGTTCCATTTATATTTTGTAAATGGCTTCAAGAAGTGTTTCATGTTCCATTAATCATACAACTATCTGATGATGAAAAAGCAATATGGAAAAGCTTAAAAATAGAAGATGCAATTAAATTGGCCTATAATAATGCTAAAGACATTATTGCTCTTGGATTTAAACCTGAAAATACATTTATCTTTTCTAATTTAGAACATGTTGGAAATAATCCTGCATTTTATCAGAATATAATTAGAATACAAAAAAGTGTTACATTTAATCAAGTAAAAGGTATTTTTGGATTTGGAGACAGTGATCCTATTGGAAAAATCTCATTTCCAGCAATTCAAGCTGCTCCAGCAATTTCTGGAACTTTTCCTTTTATTTTTAAGGATGCAAAAGTTCATTGTTTAATACCATGTGCTATAGATCAAGATCCCTACTTCAGAATGATGAGAGATGTTGCACCGAGAATTGGCTATCCAAAACCAGCTCTCTTACATTCTATATTCTTCCCTGCTTTACAAGGCTCTAAAACAAAAATGTCATCTAGTGATGACAAAACTGCAATATTTATGACAGATACTGCTAAGCAAATAAAGAATAAAATTAACAAACATGCATTCTCAGGAGGACAAGCTACTATTGAAGAACACAGACAATTAGGAGGTAATTGTGATATTGATATATCATATCAATGGTTACGATTTTTCCTAGAGGATGATGAAAAATTGGAACAACTTAGAAAAGTAAGTTTAATAAAAATTGAAAAAATATATTCTTTAATATCAATAAATATAAGTATATAATAATAATATGTAAATTTTCAGGGTTATACTAGTGGAGAAATTTTAACAGGAGAACTTAAAAAAGAATTAATTGAAGTATTACAGCCTTTGGTACTTGCACATCAAGAAGCTAAGAATAAATTAACAGATGAAATAGTTAAACAGTACATGATTCCTAGGAATCTTGGTTTTGTAACAAATGTAAAATAGTTAGATATAAATTTTTTATTATATATATAAGATACATAGGGACATTTTCATCAATTTATTTAACTTTATTTATTCTAGGAGCACAAATAATTGTTTCTTTTAAAAAACTATTTCTATGTTCAGACAATGATGAATTAAATGGCTTTTATAAAAATATAATTTTATATTTGTATTTTATATATGCATTTAAAAACCTTATAAATAAGAACTGTCAGTATAAAAATGTATAAAATACATTCTATGTTATTTTTAAATATTTAAATAATTACTATTTATATATTAATTATATATTAGGATATTTAAAAAATAGAATAAAAAAATAAATTTAAGTATAGAATAAATATATTCTATATTCTGAATATGTATCAGTCTATTACACATTCATCACTTAAATGAATTTACATCTATGTAAATTGTTAGATATATACTTACCTTTACTTTATATGATTAATGTAATGCTTGTAATGATTTTGTAATGTGTATGTAATGTGTAAAAAAATGATTTATTTTAATTAATTATAAAGTATACAGTTATAACAATAATGCAATATTATATAAACAATTCTGTATATTATTTCTTAATTTGTAAATTCCTTCGCGTAATGTAACCCTAGATTAAAACGCTTCTATTGCCCGCCATTTTTATTAGCGAAATAATAAGATCGTATAGTAAAATTTTACAAATGCAATATCTATACCGTTTATGATTAATAAAAGAATAAAACAAATTCAAATAAATAATCTATATGGAAAACAACAATTATAAAAAAAAAATTAATTTACGGAAAAATAAAAATTTTTAAAATCTATATATAAAAAAAAATCATGTATTAATAAAATAATAAATATTATTATAAAATAATTTTTAACACAAAATTATTTACATTATAATATGATCAGTAGAAATTCATTAAATTATATTTCAAGAAATTAACAAGACACTATATATACTTACAAAATTTCGAAATTTAAACGGACTATGTTTACCGGCTATAACAATATTGATAAACACAATAATCAGCGACAGTACAATTTATCATCTACAAAAACTTCATGTTTTTGTTTATATACTTGTTAGTAAGAGTTAATGCCAGTATCGCGCGCGAGTTAATTTTACTTCAGGATCTTATATGATTGCCCAGGCTTGAGCGGAAATCGTGGGCTTTTGATTGGCGAATTATGACGCCATGAGGCATGCTATTAATAACCGACGCATGCGCAGAAAATTACCTAGTGTATCCGTCATTCATGCAAGTCGATTTCGTTGGTTCTGTGTGTTGAGCTTAGTAAAAGAACATGGTGATGGTGATATGAAACAAGTCTATTAGCAATACCACGCTCTACACATATATACTTTCGCGAAGTAACGATGATATTTGGTCACGATCTCCCTACGTAAGTTTTGCGAACATGCAGACTGAGGTATAAACTATTTTAATCGTAAAATTTGGCATTGCCAAATAGTTTCTTATTAGAATCTCATACAGCTTACGCTTGCGAGATTTTCCATTTCTGTATTCAATTAATTTATAGCATTGATGAGGCTACTGTAGTAATTATACAGTGAACATAATTGCACGTAATTTAAATGTTTCCATTTGCGTAAGCGTTACCGTTTTTTCGTTTAAAATATCTGTATGTCGAAATTATCTTGGACATTATGTTCGATCTTAGAACGATGTTGTGTTTTAATTACTCCTTTTTTTTGTTTAAATTATAACTATAGTCATAAAATGAAATAACATCGCGATAAACTTCTGTTACAAAATGATAATCGAAATAAAATTCTAAGTAATACTATAATACATGTATATAAATGTACATAAATAAGTTAAACGTAATATTGTTATTCTACTTCCGATTTAAATTAATATTTTTATATCATTATATTCAGTCTATTAATTTCTATATTAAAAATTTAAGATTTTCTATCCTTCCTATTCTTATAATTTTAGGTAAAACTCAAAAAGTATCATTTGAATGATTAATTAAAAGATGCTGACCAAATAATATTTAAAAAGAAAAATTAATTGATCAAGCTGACTGCTATCGCTAAATAAATACTATGGGGGCACTTTTGGACACTCCAAAAACAGATAAATACAATGAACATGGCTCTGGCAATGGATTACATTATGGTGTTGCCAGCATGCAAGGTTGGAGAATGGAAATGGAAGATGCTCATAGAGCAATAACTGGTTTAAATGGTGGTCTATCAGACTGGAGTTACTTTGCAGTATTTGATGGTCATGCTGGAGCATTAGTATCAGCTCATAGTGCGGAACACTTATTAGAACGTATCATGCAAACGGAAGAGTTTAAAGCTGAAGATGTACCCAAAGGAATTCATTCTGGATTTCTTAGACTTGATAATGAAATGAGAGAATTACCAGAAATGAATTCTGGCACAGAAAAATCTGGTTCTACAGTTGTTTGTGCATTTATATCTCCCAAAAACATATATATTGCCAACTGTGGTGATTCTCGAGCTGTACTTTGTCGAGCAGGAGATCCAGTTTTCTCAACACGAGATCATAAGCCTGTTTTACCTGCTGAAAAAGAACGAATCCAAAATGCTGGTGGTAGTGTAATGATTCAAAGAGTTAATGGAGCTTTAGCTGTGTCTCGTGCATTGGGAGATTATGAGTACAAAAATTTGAGAGATCGAGGCCCCTGTGAACAGTTAGTGTCTCCAGAACCAGAAATATATGTTCGAGATAGAGACGATGAACACGATGAATTTCTAGTTTTAGCATGTGATGGTATTTGGGATGTAATGAACAACGAAGATCTATGTAATTTTATACATTCAAGGCTGCTGCTTACAGATGACCTAGAAGCAGTTACGAACCAGGTTATAGACACCTGTCTGTATAAGGTAATGATGTCTAAAGCTTCTCATGTATATTTTATAATGAACTTCTTGCTTCTAAAGGTGTATCAATATAGATATTTTTAGTGTAGAAATATTGATATTAAATTTTAAAACATGTGCATATGAATTGAAAAATAGTTTTATATTCTTTCATTTATTTTAGAACTCAGTCTATAATTTTAATTTCAATATTTAATGATTAAAATATTAATTAACAACATCAATATATTAGAAATTTTAAGCTTTAGATAACATCCTATTTTTATTTATTGCCTTATATTTTTATCTCTTGTGTCATTAATTTTGTTTGTCTCTTTTGTGTACTTGTTGAATAATTATAAATATTATTACTAATGTGTAGATGTGCATAATTTTCAGAAATTAAAAACATGTTTTATTAGTATGTTTAATATGTTTGATAAAGATCAAATTATTTATTAAATTTGACAAATAACATTTCTTTTCATATAATTTATTTATTACAAATGCTTTCTTTCTTGCAGGGTAGCAGAGATAATATGAGTATAGTTTTGGTGACATTTCCTGCTGCTCCAAAACCAAATCCAGAAGCACAGAAAAAAGAAGCTGAGCTCGAAATGGCCATTGAAAGGAGAATTAAAGGTTCATTAACATTTCCATATTCCAATCAATTATATTCTCTCTGCTGTTGCATTAATACAAAATCACAATATCACACACATACTTGACGTTCTAATAGCTCTCAAATGAAGAGCAACATTTAATATCATCATCTAATAATGAAATTTTAGTACAATTCAGAATACAATCATTATGATGGTATAATATTTATAAGTACAAATCTATATCAAATACTTTTTACAAGTTTGGTACTCAAATTTTAATTTTAGTTTTTCGTTAAAAGTATAGAAATATTTTATTTAATAGATAAATTATATTAACTTAAAATCAGAATATATAGATAAGCAAATACTTCCATAGATGTCATCTATGTGAGATGCACTATCAAAATTTTTATTCTTTTGATAAATTATTTACTATAATAAAATAGTATTTTAATAGACTAATTATTTATTATATACACTATTTATTAATGAAAATATTTTTCTAATAAATATCACATTTTCACTTATGTCTCTTAATTTTTTTGAAAGAGATATGTGTGTATATATATATATATACACACACTAACATATTCGTTAAGAAATGTTGAAAATTTATTCTTATGCGATAGATGTATTTTCATACTATGACTTATGTCTTTAAACAAACAATTAACTATAGCATTATTATCTAGAAATCTAATATTTATGTTTACTAAATATAATACAGCATAAGTATTTATATGAATTGTGTGCAATATCAGTAAAATAACTGAACAAATTTTAATTCTATAATTAATTTTATTTGTACAATATAAAAGACTTGTGCAAAAGAGCAATAAGTAATGAGATTTAAAATTTACTTCTATAAAAATTTGTGTCAATTCTCATTTTTAGAATTTGTACAGCGTATAAATGAATAGATGTAGTTGAAGTTTTTATAAATACTTCTTATGTAGTGTAAACTTGAATTTTTTTAATATTCATCTTTTGACTTGTGCAATTTTCTTGTATTTTCAATTTTTAAATATTTGTGATAATATATGATAAAAAAAATCAACTATTTGTTAGAATTATAAAAATTTATGTAGAATAGATTGAAAGGAAGAATAGATTGTAGGATAGAATGGAATGTTTTTTTGTAAAAACAAAATATTTAAACTGTTTGTAAATCCAAAAAATATTTAAAATGATTTCTCTTTAATTGAGATATTGTTATAGTCGTACATACAAATAGAGTATGTACATTTTTTGAACATATCAATATTGTGCTATTACTATAGAATTTATTACAGTATTATATTAGTATTAGCAATGCGTTTCTTGCTTCAACTGTTAAACAGATAGCAAGATTATACATATATTGATAATTATTTATATATAATGTTAATTTCTTCTCTCTGTGTGTGCTGTTAAATTGTATTAATTGTTTCTCCTTTAATTAAACTCTTTTAACATCAATCATTATTTTTACTTAAAAATGCATTCCACCCTTGGAGTTGGTATTCTTTTAAACCTTTTTGTAAGTAAAATTTGTATTTAAAAGTTGTTTGTTCCTCTTTTTAATCATATTTAAGTGGTATTACAGGTAGGTAAACATCTTTTTATGAAAGTTTAGAAATATTTTACCTACAGTACCTTCATTTTTTAATAATGCATTTCTTATGGAGGAACATTGCAACAAACATATATATATATATATATATACACACACACAAAAAAAAATATATATACATATATGTGTGTGTGTGTATGTATGTGTGTGTGCATAAGATTATACAATTCCAATGGTGGATAAATTTAAAAAGGTTGTTAAAAACATATTTATTTATACATAAATATAAATACCAATGTGTCTACTTAAGACCGGATTCTGTTTCCAGGATTTCCATAAGAAATGTACCAAAACACTAACTTTTCCAGTCCTAAGTAGATGCATGAATTTGTAGTTGTATGTTTGTTTTGTTTCAATAATAAAATATCAAATGATATTAAAGTTATACAATAAATAACTAAGATTTTAAAAAATATATATCAAATATTACAAAATTTATTTAATTTGTTAAATGACATAATCAAATATTTTTTGCACAAATGTGATAGTACATGCACAATACGCAATAATGATAGAGATAATATTTACAAAATAATTAATATTTAAAAATTTTTAATAATTTTAAGTTATAAGCATTCTTAATAAAAACAATTTAATTTTTTTTATTATATTTATAGAAATAGTTGCTGAGCAAGAGGACAAAAATGAATTTGATTTTTTGAAACTATTACAACTTCTTGTGGACCAAGAATTTCCTAATCTTCCTCCTGGTGGTGGTCTTTCAGCTAAGTACGTATATTTTTGAATTATTAACTTTTATTTTATCATACTTTCTTTTAATTGGTTATAAAAAAATTATATTAAGGTTAGTGTTTCTAAGATTGAAAGGAATATAGGAATGTTATATTTGGCTTACTTCCAAACTTGAATTTCTCTTTTAGTATTTGCTACTTTAGAATTTAATCGTAATTATCAAGACAGAATTATTTACGGAGTTTATAAAATTTTATTAAAACATTAATAATTGAAACAATAACTTAAAACTAAAGTAACTTAAAAATTTTTTTTTTTTAGACAACCTTTCATTGAACAAGTGTTTCGAGAAGTATGTCCCAGCCGAGCGGATAGTGTAAGTCTTGGATACGATTTCGCTTTGATATAACTAACCTTTGACTTTTTTGTATACTGCATCAAATGTACAATTGTAATCATTAGACATGTTCCATAATCATATAACGATGCAGATGCTATCGGAAATATCTTTATTTTATTGATCTCTTCTTATGTAAAAAGAGATTCATTTTTAACTTGCAAGAGAAGTACACTGATATATTATAAAGTAAATCTTACCTAAACTAAGTCTGCTACTAAACATGTGCAGATCTTACATTCTTGCAGTGCGTTATTGTTGGTAAAAATAAATTAGAGTTTAAAACTACATTTAAAAATCCTGAACTATTATACATTCACCCATTCAAAAAAATAAATACACAATTAATTTTTCAAATTTATAAATAATTTTAGATATCCAATGATAATGAGAAATGTTGATTTTACTTTTGAAATTATTTATTAAAATTATTTTTAGAATTATTTATCTATTAATACATTTATATTACAAATTAAATAACATGAAATTAATTAATAATATGAACAAGTAAAAAAAATTTATTTTATATTATCACTTTTTTGCAAAAAGATATTGTGGATTGTGAATTAGTTAACAAATGTTCTACAACATTGGAGAATTGAAAATTTAAAAAAATGCAAAAAATGAACTCTAAGTACATCTTACAGCTGATTCTATTGGTATTGATAGTTTTCATAATTATCACTATCTATTGTTGGATTTTATAAATTCTTCATCCAAGGAATAAAAAATGTTTATATTACAGTTATAAGCAGAGGATTTTTAAGTATTCTATCGAGAATATATACGAATACTTATATTCTATGAAAAACTAGATAATGTGAAAATTATTAAAAGTTTTGTTAATATAATAAAGTTTATAAATCATTTACTTCATTTTAATATATTTTAAATTAATCATATTCTACATTAGAGAAGTTTTCAAAGTAAAAGAAAAACATATATTTTTTAATATTTTTGAATAGTAATTTTCTATATTACTACTTTTTGTAAGTTTAAATTAATTCACAAATCTAGTTTTCCATTAATATTAACACTGGGTAGAATATTTATATCATATCCTCTTGCTATGTTGATAAAACTGCATAATATTACTATAAACAATTATATATTTTTGTAGCTCTAGAAACTTGCGCTCAGAATAATTACTTCTTAGATCAGTTTTTCATGCTCTTCCTTAATAAATTTTACGTATATTTATATAGCTGTTCATTCTATTTGAAGAAGTCCCAAATTTTGTCATGCGCTAGAAGAGTAGAAAAACTGATCATTTAGTTTTAGAAATATCAATACTATGTATATACATAAAAATTATATCCAGGAAATTGTGTATCAATATTTTATTTAGATCATTTTAAAAATCAAGCAGTAGGAATGTAGTAAGGAGGCCTTGATTTTAGTTTCTTAAGACATTTGGAATTGCATTATATATATTTACATTTTTTAAAAAAGTATAAACAGTTAAATTTAGGTTCAAATTATTTAATTAATTAATTTTACTATAACTAAAATTTTATGATTGTCTAAAAACAATATTAATTACAAAAAGTCAATATTAAATATTATATCACTTGTAACGAAAAAAGGAATATAGAAATCATTAAGATACAGATTTCAGAATTCCTCGTGTAAATGTAGTGGAGGGCAAGTAAGTATAGTACTTAAGATATATTACTGTTATAGCACATTATTTCTGAAGACATTAAATATATTTGTACACAGAGACTTAAGTGGTTAATGACACCACATGTATCAGGTAATCATATATTTATTCCTTTATCTTGTTATGTGATTAATTTTGTACCTCCAAAAATTTATGTAACAGAAACTATTTGTCAAGGCCATCCTCATATAAATCTAGCATACATATACCAAAGTATATATTACCGTTCCTGGTTAAAAATGGTCCTGAAATTAACTAACGTTAACAGTCTATTATCGTTTTAAAGTAATATATTAAAATAAATAACAAATCCCCTGCATAGAATTATCTCCTCTATTTTTACTAATAATGAAGTATGAAGTGTATAAAAGTAGTAATATATTTTACTGATATCTTAGACAATTTACTTATAGAGTTTGCTCAGATAGTAATTTTCATTTTGTATATTTTTGAAAACATTAATTAATCGTTGTGACAAAATATTGAAAATATACAATTTTATTCATCTATAAATGATTCAAAATCATAAGATAGTTAAATAACATTTCATTAAACTATCATGCCTTAGTTATTACATATTCATACTGCAAAAATATGTTCATAATTAAAATTAAAAATTTAAATGCAAAAATTATCGAAATTCTTGTGTACTTTAAATTAAAAAGTAAACTATTTTATCCATTTTGATACATACAATCATGAGTTTATTACTAATCTTTTATTGAATATTATTCAAGTATTAGTAATAACAAAAGTAATAGTATACTCGTGATAATGATAACAATGGTTATAAAAATAAATCCAAAATACATTTTTAACATGTGTTTCTTCTGCCTTTCGTTTACTAGTAGTCCTATTCTTTAATTTCTATATTTGATATAATCCTTAATCTTATAAGTTTATTTATTTAGACAGCAATGCTAACAATTATTTAATCATTATTAAATAATAAATTTATTTTGCATTTTGTACTTATAATATTGTAGATATCAGTACTACACATAATAGGGCTATTAGTTAACAGAAATGATAGAAAATATGTGCATTTATAAGATTTAAACAGATGGTTCTTTATTTTTTGGTTTGTATATACTTATTGTAATTTTTCTTTTGTATGTCTCTTAAATATTTGTTTTCAAACAATTTCATTAAATGTGCTTGCATAGTAATTTTACAATATTTACAATAGTAATATTCACTTTATCTGCTTTAAAAAATCAGCATTTCAGAAATATTACATGATGTGCAGAATAAAAAGAAGCAAAATTTCTTTGATGGGTGTATCTGAATTATACATATATTTTTTTCTTCTTTTCAAATGGAATTTTTTTTTAATTTGCATATTACTATCTTAAATTACATAATGCTTATTATCCTATGTTTAATTTTTAGATTTTTAATTAAAAAACTAATTTCTCTAAAGACTTTATTAAATCAATTATTTTGTTGTATAATCCTTTCATGTCCCATTTTCATTCTTCAGGTTACATTTCAACAATACTCGAGTCCTTTCCTACAATTCAAGTTGAATTCTCAAATTATTGATCCTAATAATAACTATTAGTATTTCAATATAATTACACATATTACATAATTTAATTTAAAAGCTGAAAAATACAGTTCAAAAAAATAAAAAATTCATTATTTCAAAATTGTATCTAGAAACAAGTTAATATAAAATAATTAAAGTATAAATAGTTAATACTATTTGCTTTCTGTATTCTAATTCCAAGATTTGCCAATAAAGTTTGTGTAAATTAATAGTACAGTTGGAAATATAAAATTTTGACATTTTATATAATCTTTTTCTTTTTTTAAGGGAAAATGATTTTACTGTCCACATATATTATGTATATGTAAATAAAGACGATCCTTCCTTAATTTTTCTATACTAATAAAATTTCTTCTTAATTTTTACAGTGTAGTATTTAATGCATCATAAAATAATTTTGGAATGTGACATGCTTGATATTGTGTACAATTATCTATTTTAACTGCAAATGTGTCAAGATCTTAATTGTTAAATTTATTCATTTATTTTGTCATGATAAAGTTATTTTATTTATAGTTAAAATAATACAATCATCTTATTATTTATTTAACATTATAAATATATTTGCATAATTATATATGGGAATATATAAACATATATATGTAAATAGTATGCACTTACAATTAATGAAAACAACAATTAAGATCTTGGAATGAATATGTATTTTATACTGAAAATCTTAATATTTTGACTTCACTATAAGAAAAAATACAATTTTATGTATAATACCATCATACATAGATTTATTGATATGATATTATTTATCTACATTATTGTATATAATATACATAATTAAACATATATTTAATGAGTATAATTGTTATTTTGATAAATGTGTGCATTTTGCGAATGATTTTATTATCTTGCAAAAAGTTTTATAAATTTTTAAGTAATTAATACATTCCATCATAATTTGCATTTTGCAGCTTTAAATATTTAAAAAATTTTTCTTTATTTTTTATATGCCACGTATATTTTAGAATGCTTTTTTAAAGTCAAAAAAAATTTTGTATGGAAATTTTATTAGACATTAGATTACTTTAAACATAATATTAGTCCAAATAACATTTTATTTTATGTATTGCTATTTTTGGATTATGATCCATTTAAATTTTTATTGAAAGTAATAGTAAAAGAAATTTTGTATTTAAAAGTTTTTGAATGTTTTGGATATTTTCGATTTATTATAATGTTTAAAATTTAACATACCAATTTAAATTATATACAATGTTTTCGCGAACTTAAATAGAACATTGAGCAATTAATAAAATAAGTATAAACATAAAATATTTCAAATATAAAATTTACAATTTATTAAAGAAAATTCTAGAAATGTGTTTCATAACTATTGTAAAATATTTTTAATCAATTTTTAAAATACAAATTAAACTTGAAAAATAAAAAAATATTCTTAAATATAATTTATTTTAATATTTGCCATATTTTCTAATATTTCAAGGTAATCATCTTTGTTTACATTTAATATTTCACTAGTGTAAGTATGTAATGTATTTTATAACTTTAATTGATATCATAAAAACAGTTATTCATTATCTTAATATTTAAATATATTTAAATATATAATCAGTAATGAATATTTTAAGAATGTAATATTTATATATATGTTTATTATAGGATTAATTTATAATTTTATATTTTTTGAAATTATAATGTAAAACAAATAATATTCTATCTTTAAAAAAATATTTTTTTCCTTTTTTTAATTGTTAATAATAAGTATTTTATTCTAAATTTAAAATATGTGTATAAAAATTAAAATACTATATGATGATATGCTTACAGAATTCTCAAGCCAGTTAGTGTACACAATATGTATACAATTTGATACATGTGATATACAATAAACTGGTGAACCAAAAGTCACGAAAATGAGATATCAAGCAACAACTACTGAGGAGTGCTACAAGAAGAGTTGGAATGATAATCATACAGTGGAATGGTAATCAAATGATATTATAGGCATAATTAATTTCTGATTAAATAATTTTGAGAGTTGCATTGTAATACTAAATTCAGTTACAAAATTTATTGTACAAAGTATTTTAATTTTTAAGATAAAAAATCTGATCAAGTTCTCTATAGCAATATATTACAGGTTTTTACTTTGAACATATAGTCAATGTTGTATATTATTATCCTTCTCTACTTAATAAATATTTATCAATTATATTCGATCGATTTTTATTTATATAATCCAAAAATATACAAATTTATATTTAAAATCCCCATATTTACTGAATTAAAAAATATGATACAATTACTAGAAAATAAATTTTAATTTATATGAAACTTTAGATAAAACATATTGTAACACAATGAAACTTTAGATAAAACATATTGTAACGTTTTGAATATTGGTAATCGGTATCAGATTAGTATCGAAAAAGCAATACATAACGGTTCAGGATGTTCTTCTTGTCAGTATGTAGAAATTTATTGACTTATTAGAATGTTTAGATTTAGGACAATAACGCGCTCGTTTTTTCTTACTGACAAAAAGTCCTAATGTTCACGATGTTCTCGCTGTGTTATTATTCCGAGAACGATCTGCTATTGTCAACCTCGTCGCTGACCCACTAGGCCTATTTTGTTTAGTGTCCTTAAGGAACGGTTGACGTTGATCGCCGTTTGATTTTAGAATTTTTTGGGACGGATTACGTTAGGACAATCAAACGGCGTATTTTAAAATGATTGACTAGTGCCAGCTAGCCAACTTCTATAAAACAGGCTTGCAAGCAGCGCAGCAAGCACTTAAGTTCTTTTCGAGCGGTATACTTCTTTTTCGGCAGTTCATTTTCTTTTTGCAAGAATTCTTTTTCGATCACAACAATCGATTTTGGTCAACCTCGTCGGCTCCAGTAAACGACGTCAAACTCGTCAAATTCGAGTAGACACGAACATACGCGTCGTGTGATTCAAAACGGCTATACAACGAACGTGTTCTCGGTAATTTGCCATTAACATTGTTCGGAACTTGACGCATCCATTTTATCATTAAATATATATCATTAATTATATTACTTATTAAACTAATTCAAAATATTTTTTAAATTTTATTTAAAGAATATCTTATTAAGGACTAAATTTGCATTTTTATTTAATCAAATCACATAAACCAAAATGTGGTATTAAATTTCTCAAATATTATATATACTTATCAATTGACATTTACAAATTTGTGCATACAAATTTCAGCTTAGATTTATCATGTATTAGTATCCAATCATAATTTCATAAAATAATTTTATTCATATAGTTTATAAAACACACAATTTTCAGAAAAATGAACACGTATAAAATCATTTAATCAAATACAACTATACATAATTTTACTTGTTCGCATAATAGATAATTTTACATTATATTGTATTTTAGATTTAACAATTATAAGAGAATTAATTCTACTTTTTTTATATTTTGTAAAAAAGAATTATTACAATTATATAGAAGAAAAATGAATTTCATAATTTCTTTATACTCATATATATACATATACGTAATTAATATTAAAATTGAATAAAATTGTCACTTACTTATCAAAACATACGTAACGAGAGACATAATATTGATTTCACGAATCTAAGTATCTAAAAGTATAATGTACTGTAAATACATCTATGAATCTATTACTTCATTTATGACACATTAAATAATTTAATTCCGTGATAAAAAAAATTTATAAAATCATATATTAAATAATAAATTTATACATACATTTACAGTATGTTTTATTTTCTTTAAGTTCTCATCCGTCAATTCAGTATTTCGTGTCTTTTGTTACATGTTTTTTCATATGTAGTCGTAATTTGTATAAAAAGAGATTTGTTAATTAAATAGAACAGTCTATTTATTTGTAGTCCAACCACGCCAAATAGAGGCTATACTAGCTGCAGCACTTGTAACTAAACCTCCAGCAACACTTTGATTCACCTGCATGCTAGATGATTGTTGACTAACCATTGCACCAGGAATTGGGACTATCATTTCGGGACAAGCAACATTTGGTACCTATAAAAATTAAATATTTATATAATATATTTAAAACATTCATAAATGGATAAAAAAGACAAAACTTACAGCTTCCCAATCCCAGTTAAATGCATCTTCTTCTTCATCAGATGCAGAATCATCACTATTTTCTAAATCAGGAACTAATTGACTGTGTAATTGTGCTACTATATTTGACTCAACTTCCATTGGACCAATTCTGTCATAATATATAATCTTTATATAATCTATTAATAATTAATAATAATAAATGTAATAAATATATACCTTCCAAGATCACTAATTTCAGTATTTAGCAAATGCATTAAATTTTGTAGAGTATGCATTGGATGCAAAACTGTAATGTTGGTATTTTGTGTAAAACATAAATGTAGCACATTACTGTTTAGCCTTGCTACTTTTTTGGCAAATTTTTGATCTGTCAATTCACTAGAGCAAAATTCACTAAAAATATTTAAAAAATGAATTTTAAGTAATAACATTTTATCTCTATTTCAATGTTTAATATATTTGCATATAAACAATGAAATATTTTTCACATACCCATAAGCAAGCTTATATGGTAGTCTTACATTAACATAATAAGCAATAATATTAACCAACTGTGTAGCATAAGTTAAAGCAGCACTGATATTATATGCTGGATTGTGCATTGCAGTCTCTTTATTTGCACCTGGCACTCCATCTTTATTTGCTGCCACTAAAAGAGATAAATTTGATATTTTAAAAATTTATTTAAAAAATTTAAATTAAACAATATATATACCCCATAGAGAATAAGCACTATAATCTCCATTTCCTGGTAGAGTTGGGGCAACTATGCGATGCTGAACTTCTAGAGCATTTTCGGTGTCATTAATCCATCTACCTCTAACATATGAAGTTCCAGATGCATCTGCTAGTGCACAAGTTACATCTGAACTAGTGTCTTCCTCACTACTACATAAACTAAAATCAAGTGATAATTTTTTATTAATTTTTAGTAATTATAAAATGTTTCCTTAATAAAAACAAGTAGAAAAATGTTCAGTAAATAAATTTTGATTATCAAATGTGATTAAATATTTTGATCATGTGTTTCACAAATACTAATAATTTTTTAGATATAAGTTAATGGATACTAATACCTTCTATTAGGTTGTAGTTCTGATATGGGGAAAATATATTTAATTAATTGTTTTGCAGCAGTCCTAATAACTTTTTTTAACTGCTGTCTTTTCCTGTCTACAGTTTCTTTTTGTTTTTCTTGTTTTGCTTTCAAACCAGTAACGTATTTATGTAATTTTTCTACTCGTTCTTCATGTCTAGGTAATCTCAAAGCTAATTGGGAGTTTACATCTTTGAGAACATTTAAACGTTGATTACCTGCATGTTATTAAATTTGATTTAGTCTATCGTATTTGTAAGTATTAGATAATTATGATATATATACCTCTGTTTATACTTTGTTTTGTTTCATTTACTAATGACTGGAGCAGTCTAATTCTTTCTTTGCATGTATTTATATCACATATCTACAAATCGAAAGAACAATTAAATAGTAATATAATAATTTATTGTAATAATTATTAATTTTAAAACATTAAATATAAAATACCAATTTATCTTTTTGTTTATGTTTTTCAAGTGCTTTAATGCATTTTTCTTCTAATTCAGTTCTGGCAGCTTTCAACCGTAAAAGTCGCAGTTGTTTATCTGCAAATCTGTTCAGATATCAATCAGAATAAAATTTTTTCGGTAGATGAATATTTTAAAACCGAAATATTGTTTGAATATTTGAATATTATTCGTATGACTGATAAATTTGAAAACCAACGCGTTATCTTTTACGATAATTACTGAGAATAGAAATTTATTTTTATATTCAACGTTATTATTTATAGAAACAATTAAAGAACTTTTTGATGTCGAATAAAATTTTAATGAATAAAAATAAATGGCCAGTAAACGCATAAATTACAAGAATATATTTACCGTTCGCAATAAACAGAAGTTGAATAGACAAAATCTCCATTTTGGATGCACTGGCGACAATAAAAAATTCGACGATTATTATGGCACAATGGGCACTTTAATAAATTCACACTTATACGACTTGGACCATCTTCCAACTCTGACGAAAGCTGAAAATCTGCAGGTGCTGTACAAGACCCATCAGAACTGCTTGTCGCCATAACCAAGACCAAGAACGATACGCTTTCGTCTGTTGTCACTCATCAGCTGATCTGCTATTTACTTATAAACTCCCGCCACTATATACATATTATTTTTATCGCGTATCTTTACTTTCATATATATTCGTATTATATGCGTATGGCCCAATCTCATACAAAATTTCCATATAACATTCAACGAATAATTGTTGGATTACAGAGAAAACAAAGTTAAATTTCAACTTACCTCATCTCATAGCTGCACCGTGACTGGAATGGTCTTGAAAAATTCCCGTTACACTACGGAATAACAAGAAAGACAGAGAATGTACACATAAATCTTAGAAAGCGTTCGCAAATAACAGTTAAGATGATAAAACGTACAGATATTAATTTGAGAAAAGACACAATTGTATTCTCTTTAAAGTATATCCAAATTATTTAAAAAATTATTCATTACTTCATTTGTTAATTTTGTTGAGTTATATTTTACGATGGTTTGTAATTATTAATTATTCCTCCCTATACTTTTTTGCTTAATTTATACATTTATAATAATTATTATAAATATTATTATAAATATTATTACAAACTTACTATAAATATTATTATAAATTTATTATTATAAATATTTATTGTAATTCGCGTAATATTGATAAAATTTGACAAACCCTGTTTTTCTTATTGCAAAATACCGGGAATTTAGATAGAATTCAATTCTACCTTTTGTTGATCATTTTCCAATGATCCACACTTTCCAAACTTAAGAAAATGTTTTATTGAAATGTTTTATTGTCAGATATTTAAAATACTTAGAAATACTTAATATTCAACGGTAATCAATATCTTTTAACTTTTTTTTCTTTAATATGTTTTTCTTGAAGATTATGAATTCATTTATGGTCAATTATATCATGATGTTAGGTTATATAAAAAATATGTGCAGTGAATTTTATGATAATTAGAAAATAAGAACATATTGTAAATCAATTTTTAGATATTATCTATTATTTGTATCTATATTTTGATAAGTGAAAAACAAGAACAATGACATCAATTATAAAGCTTCATGCTGTATCCGGAGCTATGGATGAATCTCCTCCCTGTTATATATTGCAAGTTGATGAATTGAGAATATTACTTGATTGTGGATGGGATGAAAATTTTGACCAAGAATTTATAAGAGAATTAAAACGGTAAATAAGTTATTATATGGTATTTTAAAAATTATAAGTGCAAAGAAATTTAAAAAATATTCTTTTTAGCACAGTATTATTTTTTTTGGACAATATTATTTTTTTCAGACAATATTAATTCTTTTCAGACATGTTCACCAGATAGATGCAGTACTCTTATCATATCCAGATCCATTGCATCTGGGTGCCTTACCATATTTAGTTGGAAAATGTGGTTTAAATTGTCCAATATATGCTACTATTCCTGTATATAAAATGGGACAAATGTTTATGTATGACATGTATCAGGTATTTTGGATAAAAAGTATTTTTATGATAACATAAAATGAAATTGCATACAGATAAAGGATATTTATATATTTTCATAGTCTCGACATAATATGGAAGACTTTGACCTTTTTACCCTTGATGATGTTGATGCAGCATTTGATAAAATAGTTCAGTTAAAATATAATCAAAGCATTTCAATGAAAGGAAAAGGATATGGAGTTACTTTAACACCTTTACCAGCTGGTCATATGATTGGAGGAACTATCTGGAAAATTGTAAAAGTGGGTGAAGAAGATATAATATATGCTGTTGATTTTAATCATAAAAAAGAACGACATCTAAATGGTTGTGAATTAGAAAGGCTCCAAAGACCGTCTTTGTTAATAACAGATGCTTTCAATGCTACATATCAACAAGCAAGACGTAGAACAAGAGATGAAAAATTAATGAGTATAAAAGCAAATATTCATGACAATTTTAGCAGTAGTTTCTCTCTACAGTATTTTATATGCAACAATATTTTACAGCAAATATTTTACAAACATTACGTGGAGGTGGAAATGTTTTGGTTAGCGTAGACACAGCAGGCCGTGTATTAGAATTAGCTCATATGCTGGATCAGTTATGGCGTAATAAAGAATCTGGTTTACTTGCATATTCCCTAGCTCTCTTAAACAACGTTAGTTATAATGTCGTTGAATTTGCTAAGTCGCAAATAGAATGGATGAGTGATAAATTAATGAGAAGTTTTGAAGGAGCTAGAAACAATCCATTCCAATTTAAACATTTACAACTATGCCATAGTATGGCAGAACTAAATCAAGTTCCTAGCCCAAAGGTATCTAAAATAAAATTATTATCTTGTAAATTGAAATCAAATTTATATGTAAATACTCTAGGTGGTACTTGCAAGCACTCCAGATATGGAATGTGGTTTTTCAAGAGAATTGTTTCTACAATGGTGTGGCAATCCCCAAAACAGTATTATATTAACTAGTAGAACATCACCAGGAACACTTGCAAGAGATTTAGTTGAAAAGGGAGGTAATAGAAATATTACATTGGAAGTAAAAAGAAGAATTAAATTAGAAGGACTTGAATTAGAAGAATATCAAAGAAAAGAAAAATTAAAACAAGAACAATTGAAACAAGAACAAATGTAGGTGATTACATAATATAAAAATTAATTTAGTAAAATATTTCTTAGTCTTTGACTCTGTTACTTTTTAGGGAGACTGCTGATGTATCTTCTGAATCAGAAGATGAAATAGAAGTTGGTGGAGGAAGAGGAAAACATGATTTATTAGTGAAACAAGAAAGTAAACCAGGTTTTTTCAAACAAAGTAAAAAACAACATCCCATGTTTCCATTTGTGGAAGAAAAAATAAAAATCGATGAATATGGAGAAATTATAAGGTATTGCTACAATAATCATAAAATTTTAAATATTTATATTGGTTTATACATTTTATAGACCAGAAGATTATAAGATAGCAGAAACTATGCCAGAAGTGGATGATAACAAAGAAAATCTCGAAACAAAACAAGAAGATACTACTCATCATCCAGAAATACCTACTGATATTCCAACAAAATGTATTCAAGTTACACGTACAATGACAGTTAATGCATCTGTCACATATATAGATTTTGAAGGTAGATCCGATGGAGAATCATTACAAAAAATTTTAGCTCAATTAAGGCCACGAAGAGTTGTACTAGTTAGGGGATCACAAAAAGATACTGAAATTTTATCTCAACAAGCACAAAGTGCAGGTGCACGAGTGTTTATTCCAGGAAGAGGGGAAACATTAGATGCTACAACAGAAACGCACATATACCAAGTATATTTGATTAATTTGATTAATTTTTATAAAAATATATGTATATATTGAAATATCACATTTTATTCAGGTTCGTTTGACCGATGCACTTGTTAGCGGCTTAAACTTTTCAAAAGGAAAAGGTGATTCTGAAGTAGCATGGGTTGATGCAATGATAACTGCTCGTGATCAAATATGTCGAGATGCTGTTGCTGGTACTGAGGCAGATGATACAATAGATCAAAGTGATAAAATACTTACATTAGAACCACTACCATTAAATGAGGTATGTAATTATAAGAAATGAAATTTTAGTATGTAAAATATAAATGTATTTGTGAATTTTAGGTACCTGGCCATCAAACAACATTTATAAATGAACTAAAACTGTCTGATTTTAAGCAGATTTTGAACAAAAGTAATATTCCCTCTGAATTTAGTGGAGGTGTTTTATGGTGTTGCAATAATACTATTGCTGTTAGGAGGGTGTGTATTTAGTATCATCAAAATATAACTTTATATAATAAAAATATTTTACATGTATATAATAAATATTTTTACAATATTTTTTTAGCATGAGGCTGGAAAAGTAATATTAGAAGGTTGTATTTCAGAAGATTACTATAAAGTACGCGAATTGTTGTACGAACAATACGCAATTGTATAAATTACTATCTTTATATTAATAAATATAAATTTAGTATAAAAATATTTACATTGTCTTTTTTATTGTGAAAATTTTAAAAGTAATCTTGAAGAAAACATATAATATATAAATTTGAACAAATTTAAATTTAAATATTTACGATAAATATTGTATTCCTATGTGTATGTGTATATGATAATTTTAAAAATTGGCGCGAAATATTACTAACCTTGCAGTTTTTATTTGATCATTAAGCACTGAACCTATCACAGATATAGGATGTAAGCATTTAACCTAATAATATAGCCTAAGAAATGAAAATTTAATGAATAATAAGTTCAACAATTGCACATCAAAAATTGGATTAAACGGTAAATGGAATATTTCAAGAAAATGTCAACATATCTTGCATATCTTAAAGTAAAATTTTTAAATACGTTATTTTCAAAATGTATGTAAATATTTATCAAACTCATGTAATAATATCTAATTCCTTGAATAAAATTTTTGTTCCAGAATTCTATATATGCCTGAGATCATCCAATTTCCAAATTAGAAATCGTCGTATATTTTAATTGTTAAAGTTGTTATATCATTATTTATTACATTAAATTTTGAAATATGCGAAAATATTACCAGGCTGCACTTGTAATAATTGCCATAGTGAGTCTAGTATCCTTATTATTTTATAGACATGAATATAACAAATTAAGATACGTTTTAGAAGTTTTTAATTATTTTGGTAAGCCAAATCAGAGAAGTGAAATGAATTGCACAAATAATGTACCAGTTTTTACTAAATTTGATATGAAATTTGAAGAACCACTTTCTGCCTGGCAAAGATTAAATGATGATTTGTATGTTTATTCTGCATATAATATACGTGACAAAGAAATTCAAGTAATAGGTTTTGGTTCATCAAATAGCATTAAAGATATGCAATGTCAAATATTATTTGAAAATGAAATTGAACCAGTTTTAGGAAACTTTAATTATCTTTTAATTGGTAATAATTTAAATAGTACAACTACTGATAAAAATATTGATTATAGTGGATATCATTTTTATTGTACGTATACAAAAAATAAGGTACCAATAGGAATAATATTTCTTACGAAATCTAATTCAGATCTTCACAATATACCTATATTACCAATCAAAAATCAATCACATAACTTAAATTATGTTAATATTGGAGTATGCATAACACCATCTTTAACAAAACCAATACAACCATTACAAATGATTAGTTTTATACAGTTTCATGACATAATTGGTGTGGATAATTTTATAGTATATGATTTTGGTATTCCAAGTCAATATAATAGCAATTTTAAAGAACTATCTAAATCTCTAAATCCATATTGGAAATTTACTTATACAATAGTGCCATGGAATTTTCCTTTCCTCAATACTCATCCTACTATAATAAAAGACTTGATACAAGCAGACTGTTTGTACCGTACATATAATAAAGTTATGTATATTACTACATTATCTTGGGAAGAGTATATAGTTTTAAGATATCATCATTCCCTTACAGATTTATTGACAGATTTTAAAAAATCTAAAATGAAAGCAGATCGTTATAAATTAAAGACATTGACATTTTGTACACAACAAACAGATATAAACAGCAATAAAAATGTAACATTAATGATATTTAGAAAGTTATATTATGATTCAAGTATACTTGATAATCGACCAATTTATATTTATAATACACATGAAGTATTTAAAAAAAATAATATTTATACACGTGACATTGGGAAAGATTTAGTCACATTAAATCGTTATCAGTATTGTCCTGGAAAATCAAATATAGAAACAGGCACTGAAGACACTTCAATTTTAAGATTCACTGAAGATGTACAGAATTCACAAATATATAGGAAATTTATAACAAAAAATAAATTTTTATCGAACAATAGCAATTGATGCTTAGATTTAATGTATTTATAAGACAATTTTAGTCTAAAAATTTAATTATAAGATATTAGAAATATAAGAATACAATATTGTATGATGTATATATATGTATAACATGTATATAAAAATTTGTTACAATGCAAAATTATTTAGGTTTCAGTATTTATGATTCCAATATTTCAACTTCCTAATATTATTTTTTATGTTAAATATTCTTTACGTATTAGTACACTTTTTTACTTTAAATACTTTATTTATCAAAAAAAGTAGTATAAAAACATTTTTATAACTTGTTTAGTACTATACTTAAAGGAAATCTTCATATCTTCTTTATTGTACTATTGTAATAGCTAGTTGCTCATATATATAAACTGTTTAATAATATGTATAATAATCTGTATAATAAATACATATAAATTGAATGATTTTATTGCAAATTTTACAAAGGTTTTGTAATTTTATTTCATATTAATTGAAGTTTTAATATTAGATTCGTCTCCAATGAAATATTTCTTGCATTAGCAAAAATGTTATACAACAAAAACCATACTTAAAATTAAAATAAACAATATTTAAAGTGCTATTCAATTATTAAAATGTGTTGAAATATCATTTTTAAGTATTTCAATGTATATTTAAGAATCATCTAATTAATACATCACTTAAACTCCTTAACTAAAAATCTAGAAAAGATATTTATTTCAGTCGTTGGATTATTGTTGTATTTTGTAGACCAGCTTCTTCGATAGTTTTATCTTCCGTAATTTCCTTAGTAGGATACATTGTTAATAAACTAAATTCTCTCATAGCATATTGAGGTCTCATACTAACAAACAATTAAGGAATAATATATTTCTATTCATAATAAATCAGTCTGTCTTTATAATAATAATATTAATCAAGAAAGGATACGTTATTATATATTGCCTCAAGTCATTAATGGTATGAGTTAAATTAAATTGAGCTTTTACACTAGTTCCATCAGCAAGGCGAATTTGTAATGTTGTAACAGGTTTTGATTCATCTAAATTTAATTTTTGTTTTGCCTGAGATTCATTAGCTGCTTGATCTGCAAGGTCTGTTGGTATTGTCATACCAACTGTAGCTGGAGAAGGACTGAATAGAAATATTATTAAACATTAAATGTATTATAATTTTTATATAAAGTATAAATATGTATTATATACCTCCCTAACATATGTCCCTTACCACTAAAGACTTTCACTTTAGCTTTTGGGGGGACATATGTTTCATGATGATGATCTTCCATATCAAGACGAGCTTCAGTGCCTTGTATCTCCTGACGTATTTCTGGTGGTATTTCACCTCGTTTTATAATCTCAAGAAATTCTCTATTTTCTGGATCAGTATATAAATGAAGTTCAGAATCATTTATAGTAAATCCATCTTTCCACAATTTTAAAGTAATTAATCCCGAATTTGATTGTTGATGATTAGATGATGTTGCAGTAACAACTATAACAAATATTTATTTTAATATAATACATCTTGTTACAGACACAACAAACTTACTTACTTTCAGTATCTGAACTAGTTTGACCTAATTTATATCCAGTACCACTAAAGGTATTTGGTCTTTGTTGTCCACTTGGTTTTGGTTCAGCAGCAATTGATTGTCTCTGACAAGATTTAAACATATCACTAACAATGTCCTTTTTCTTTCCTGGTCCTAAAATTTGTTGTCCAGTATGTTCTGAACCACCAGCATAAAATGCTTGTCCCTCCTCATCTTCAGGACTACTTTCTCTATCTTTAAGGTCATTAAGCATTGCAAACTTAGAGTTTGGTTTTACTTTATCTTTTGATGATTTCCCTTCCATTTCCGATGATTTTACACTTCCTAGATTTTTATCTGAAATATCAGCACGTTCCTCTTCTGACGAACCTTCAGTAGATTCATTAGACCATGAAGGTAAATTAGGAGGAGAATAGAATGTGTCAATAGCAACCTAAAATAATTTAAATAATAGATACATTTTGGTGCAGATATTGAAATACTGTTATAAAAATAAACTGTTATCATATATATCGTATATAAATCATATTATTAAAAAATTATAATCTAAAAAGGAATTTCCTTTATGATAACTAATCTTATTTTAGATATATTGTCAATGACAATATAGCTAAAATAAAATATCTAATAGTTTCAATCATGATATTGCAACATTATTGCACGTATGATATATGTTGGGAAATATTTTTTGGTTAAAAGAAGTTCTTAATATAGTGACAAAAACAACAGTTTCAAAACTTCAAAATCATGCAATTAAGCGTTACAAGAATATCAAAATTTAACAAATTTAAGGTTAAAGAGTTGACGTTGAAGATCGATAAAGAAGTATAGCTGTAATAATACCAAATTATAACATTTCGCATTAAAGTTTATAAAAGATGTAATAAATATTATACCTCACCTCAAGTTGCCAATTAGATAATTCAAGATAAAATCGTGCTTCTTCAGGTTCAACCCCAGTTGTATCTATAAACTGCGAGACCAACTCATCATGATTCGCCATTGAAAGCAAATGTTAAACCACTCGCAATGTATCGCAATATATACTTGTAACTGTAGCTTAAAAAAATTCCTCGTATAATAATTTCCTTTGTTCGATAATTCAACTTTACATCAATTTCTTCAATTTACCTGTCATTCCTTCCATTTATATGGAACTGAACCGGATATATACACAGTGAAAGAATCCGCGAAATGTTTGAATATACATTCTAATTTAATTTTAACTTTTTAATAATTTCTGTAATTGTATCATTTTAATATAGTTCCATTTATCTTGATTATTGTATTTTAAATTTTTTATTTTGTATTTTAAATTTTTTTAAATTTTAAATATATTAATAAATATTATTATGAAAATTATACAAATATGTTATATGAAGATTGCTTTTATTTGGATATCTTTCGTGTAATTTATATATGACAAAATAAAGCTGTACCGCATTTTATCCAATGAGTTACAGGTATTTCAGTTTTCAAAGGTATACTAATTATATAATTCTTTGAAGAAAATTTCATATCTGTATCTGTATGTTTAATGCTGGTTACATAAACTGGACATTCATAAATTTGATGTATATCTTTTTTATTTCGTGAACATTTAAGACGTATAGGTGGCATATTTTGCCAGATTTCATTTGTAACATTTTCGACTAATATACCTTTTTTTAAGTCCCATCGACCACCACATAAATGCAATCCGCAAATTAAATATGCATCATCACTTTCTTCATTAATTTCTTCTTTCATTTCTATTTCAAAATCGAAACCGATTTCTTCAATAGATATGTTATACTTTTTAGAAAATGTTAATAATATTGCAAAAAGGAACATTTTAGGATGAAATAATGCATCAAACCAAATAATTTTTGGACTTCTTCGATTAATCCAATTTTGAATAAAACTTGCACGTTTTAATAAATTATCGATGTAATCTGTCAGATTTTCGGCAATAGTATTAATTTGCATGTTTTTCCAAGTATGTGGAATTTCATTTTTACATATCTCTTTTGCTAATTCTTTTAGCGATTCCGTAAATGTAAGATAACCATCTAATGCTAATTTTAAATTATTTAATGTCTGCGTTATAATTTCTAAGATATATTTGAATGATTTAATTTCATAAAGAAGAACTCTTTGGAGAGGTTCCTTAAGCATAGAAGTATATTTTTCTTGAATTTTATTAATTTCGATTGCATTACATAACTTATCATTAATATTATCAATTAAAGTTAGTACTTGATCTTGTAGTAATTCTTCATTTAATAAAGAAATTGGAGAATTTATATATGAAAGAGATGATATTATTTCGTTAGCTATTGTAGTATTACGAATAATAACTCCATTCTTATTGAACCTAAAAATTTGAAATGATAAATCTGATGAAATCTTCTTAATATGATCAATTATATGATAATATTCACATCTTTTTGGTATTAATTCTTGTATGTCATCTGTATGTATACATTGCCCATTTTTAATTATATTAGGATTGCAATAATCAATTAAAAGATGTTCCAAACATTTACTATCAAATTCATCTTGGATTTTTCCTCCATAATTACATTCTCCAACAAGATATAGAAGAATATCAAAAGGTACATGATTTGTATTATTTATGAAATTTTGTAATTGCATAATGGATATTTGAAGGTCAGTATGATCAAATTTATATGGTATATTCCATCCTTGAACCCCAAAATATTTTCTTTCTTGTATAACTACATGAAAAAGACATATTCCAAAAAGAAGTTTTAAAAAAATTTTATCTTTCCCAGGACAGCCTTCGAAAAATTCTTTATTTATTATAGGTTCTGATTGATAAATATTTAATAGTGCTTCCTTGATATTCAAAGAATAATCATGCATGATTTTTATACTATTTTGCAAGATACTAATTGGAAATTCATTGATAGAATAACTAGATAACCATAAGCGAAAATCTAAAGATATATTAGAAGTACAATTTTCACAAAGTTCTTCAAGATTAGCCAACCAGTGAATTGTCAGATGACAATTTTGTAAAAATACCCAACCTCCTTCTCTCTGGGCTTTTTTAATAAGAAACTCAGCTTTTTCTTCTTCACCTTTACTCATAGACAGAGAAATAAATTTGGATAAATAGCCTTTAGTTTTTGCATATGTAGAAATAAGAGACAGTGGTTCTAAAGAAGCAGGTAAAATAAATAGAAGTGGAGTTAAATAACTAGATTCTGCGTATGATTGAGATATTTTAATTTTAGGGGAATAATTTTGTGTATTTCCTAATATGCTTTCTATCATTTTCATAATTTGTATTATAATTTGATCAGGACGCAACATTTTTACAAGAATAAGTTTCTGAAATAAAGATAACTTATCAATCCATGGTTCTGGCATTAAGTGATCTTCAAGTGATTCGGAAACATAATATTGTTTCCAAGCTTTATCATTAAAACAAAAATTATCTGCCAAATCATAAAAGGAAGAAAGTGTTTTACTGAGATTATAAATATTCATCCATATATTTTGTGGAAGCCAATCATATTTGTAATTTGGAACTGTATTAGTATAATTTATGTTTGGTGTTATAAAATATTTAATTTCTTCTTCAGTTGTTTGTTGATCGTTCAATAAGATTTTTGAACATAATAAAAAAGAATACAGTATTTTATGTTTTTCTGATAAAGATCTGCAAATGCTTGAATAAAGACTTTGAGTAAATGAAAATTTCAAATATTTCAACCGTTTTTCAATGATAGAACTTCTACTTGAAATTTCAATTGATCTCCTACATAATTGCATAAACCATGAAAAAGAAAAACGGTACATATGATTTAAATGTGACAAAACATTCAGTGTATTTAGTAAATCTGCACAATATTTAACAAAATTCACATAAACATTTCGAAATTTACTTATTTCTTGGGATGTTACTTTTGTTATTTCTTGTTTCTTAATAATGTTTAAAGAAAAATTTTTAGAAGAATCTAAACTTTTTATAGCAGTTTCATCTTCCAGAATATTTGTTGTTGTTGATGATAAGATATTTAGTACAATATCTTCCTGTTGCTTTAATATTTTTTTATTTTTAGCATCTTCCATAAGTAAAATTTCAAATTTTTCCTGAAGGTTTGGCTTTTCCTTGTAAATAATAAAATCAAGAAGTCTATCTTGGAGAGCTTCATTAGGAATGGAAAAATTAATTATTGTAAGTTTGCTAAATATTTCACATGAAAATTGAGGATTAAGCATTCGTGTTGTAATATATAATCGGAAATTGAATGAATATTTGATAACATTATGATCAATATCTAAGTACGAAGTCTTTCCATCGTTATAAATTTTTTTTAGAAGAAAAGGATCCAATGATATTTCTAATTCTTCTCCTATATTTTCAATTAATGTGGGTATACCATTTTGAACATTATATTGAATAGTTGATAAATAATTAGGATCAGTGAGCTTAATAATTTTCAAATTATTCTTCTTCTCAATTTTTTTAATCCAATTATTGGCTTGATTTTGTGAATCAATAAATAAAGGCCATAATTTGGAATTATTCATAATAATTACATTTTCAACCAAAAAACTATTTTTAGACAGACCAGAGAAATACCAATAATTTATATCATTTTCTTCTCCAAACATATTTATTAAATTATAGTCTTTGCTATATGATATGTTTAGAACTTCTATATATTGTTTCCATTGTTCTAAAATTTTATTACGAAATATAGTATTATATGGTGCTATATAACTTATAATCCCACATGTTAATATCATATCTCCTACAAGATTATTATAATTTCTTTTAAGATTTTCTGCTACCTCCATCCAATGATGTTTTTCTCCTCCTAAACTTTCCATTAAATTTTTTGCTTTATAAAGTTTAATGGTACAGTCTTCTACTTCTTGCTCTAGTTTCACTTTTTGTTGTAGTGTTTCTTGAAGACAGTTATTCAAGACAGCAAGTTTAACATTTAATGAGGAAAGAGTTTTCCGTTTTTCATTTAAAAATGCTTCAGCTTGATCACATTCATTTTGTGCAATAAGTAATTTCTCTTTCTTAGGAGCTACTGCTTTTGTTACTTCATCATAGGATACCATTGCACGCACCCACTTACAAAGACCTTCTGCAGCACTTGATGCTTTAGCAACAATATGTGGTTTAAAATTGTTATCCATTATGTATGTTTTTTTAATAATTTGCATAATATTAGATGGGATATTGTCTTTATCATAGTCTTTTAAGATTTGTAAAAAATTCATATCACTTAAAATACGTTTGCTTGGACTCCAGTAATCAGTATATTTCTTACCAGTTACTGAATCAATAGTTCTATCTGGGGGAACATCAAGCATTACACATATTGCTGCCATTACAAGCTTGACCGTGTCAGGAGGATTTTTCATAGCTTTAACCAATGTAATATCTGTAGGTTTTAATGTATTTAATGCTGCAACAGCATCTTCTAAAATCGGAATTGCTACAGCTAGATCAGCTTCACATTCCAACTTTAATTTTCCAGCAATTTCTGTTTTCTTATTTGCTATTTCTTCTTCTCGTTGTATGACAGTAGTTGCTTTTTCTATACTAATATTTTCGTTCTCTACCTCTTTCATTGTAATTATTGTTTTTTGAGCAGATAACTCTAATTGTGGCTTCAACATTGTCAATGTAGCTTTCATCTTTTCTACTTGTTGAGCTGCTAATTCTAATTTTTCTAAACCTGTCAAGTATCTGTTTTTCAATGTAGTAATATCTTCTTGTTTTTTATATATCAGGTAAACATATAACTTTAACATGTGCAGATATGCAGTTAATGTAACATGAATTTTTGTATTATTTTCTTTATAATATTCAGTGCTTATTTTTTGCATATAATTATGTAATTGTATACAAACTTTTATTACATTTATTTTTACATTTTCTTCAATATTAGTATCTTGAATGTATTTCAAACCTACCTGCAAAAATGTATCTGTTGGCCACATTTCATACCAATTTACTGTACAGTATTTTATTAATTCTGGATATTTATATAAATATGATCTTATATTTTTATTTACATCTCTAAAACAAAATATAATATGTAATTTATTTTTACATTGTTCTAGAAAAAAATTCATTACAGCATCATTACTGATTTCTTCATTTTTATTGCCATCTTGAGCATGTAAACGTATTGTTTCAATAATATTACACTTTTCTTCAGCAGAAAATAAATCAGATATTTCTCCAGTAGCCAATAAACAACAAATGTCTTGAAGAAAATTATGTTTTATTTGTTTATCTTTTACAAAAAGTATAAAATCTTGTCTTAACTCACCACACTTTTGTAAAACCATTTTTATATCTTTTCTCCACATGTTAAAGTTACAATAAGAACGTACAGAAGGTTCAAATAATTCTTGTTGTTGGATATAAGCAGCTAAATTTGCTAAGGATTTTCTGCCAGATCCCGTGCTAGAGATTATCAATAAATTGCTTCCTGGTATAATTAAAATTCTTGAAATTTTTATCAAACATTCTAAAATATATTGCGATACTACAATATCAATGCGTTTTTTTGTATTAGTATTGTTATATTCATGTAAATAGAAAAGAACTTTATTTTTTAATTTCTCAATAGAATTTATTTCTTCATATTTTTTATTTTCATTTTTTTCTGCACACATGAAATTACAAAATATTAAATTACAGAAACTATCTTTAGTAATCTCATTATTATCAAATTTTGGCAAATAATCAAAAGCTGTTTCAAATGAATCTTTAAAATAATGTTTACTAATTTCTTTAATTTGCAAAAAGAGCCATTCTTTATCACTATTATCTAATATTCGATCACCAAAGACACGCCATATTTCATGCGCCCAAATTCGCATGAAAGTGACTTTAGTTTCTACCGATTCTTTTTGAAGAAGACTACATCCTTTAATAATTCTGCTTATGTCTCTTATACTAAATTGATACTGAAATTTGGCTGGTACTGGTCGTAAAACTTTAATCACAGAATTATATACATCAATTGTAGCATTAGTTATACTAGTTACAGTATTGAATATATCTGCAGTAAAAGAATTTCTTTTTAACTTACTAAAAAGAACATTTGAAAATATTCTGAATATAGTATCTGTAGCAGGAGCATACATGTTATATAGATTAAAGTGTCTCAAAAATCTAGGACATATTTTAATTGTAGTACTAGCTGCAATTGAAAACATGGTATTATGAATAAAAATCTTTTCAGATTTATTAATATCATACAAGTAACCATAACTATGATATTGACGAATAAGCTCTAGAATAGTATTCATTTCTGATTTACACTCGTCTCTTTGTACATTGAGATCATCTATAAAATTAATACAAAACTGACCTTCTGATAGTCCGTAATATCTTTTCCTTATTTTATTTAATTTTGAAAGTAACAACTGTTGTGTTCCAATAATTGTATTTGAAGAAGTAAAGTTAAATATGTTTGAACATATCTCTTCAGGCAATTTATTTTTTAATAAAGTTTTTATAAAACAAGTTTTTCCGATAGACATATCTCCACAAATAATGAAAGGTTTTCTATATTTTATGTGTTTTAGAATCATATGATTATATTTTATTGTATTCATTGTTGGAACAAAAATTTCAATATTATCAGGATTTTCTAATATTTGTTCACTTTTTAATAAATCAGCATTTCCCCAATATTTCCAATTTCCAACGCCTTTGAAGATATAAAAATTGTCCTGTATTAAACCCTCATGAGGTAGTGTTATTTCAAAACCTTTTATTACTTCTGGCCTTGGATGCTCTTTATTTATACCAGACCAAAGTGAAGTACAGAAAGAATTAAATTTAATATGAGAATCTATATCTAAATTTCCTCCCATCCCCCATATTATAGATAATATAAGAGCAGCTTGTGCCCATATTAAAAAATGGGTTGTTTTTCCTTTATCTTCAGTATCTTCTATTAAAGCATCCTTTAAATACATTTCAAATAAATTTAATATTGAGATTACATAATGTAGTTTGCCAACAGCTAATGTTACAATACAATTTTTTTGTATAAATTGTAAACAAGGCTCTATTATCCAATCAAATAATGAATGTAAAACTTCATTGTATTCATTATAAATATTATGTCTAGAAAAGTAAGTTTTAACATAGGGCCTCCAATCAATACAATTTGATTCAATATAAATTATACCACAAGTTGATAAAGTAGCAGGAGAAATATCTTCCATATTCATTGTTTCAAAAATAATAGATATAGAATTTGTCATATTAATTTTTTCATCTGATGTTAAATATAACATCTTATTTGTATTAAGAACTGCATACAAGCTTTCAATCCATAAATTATTTAAAGGTCCATCAAATATTATCCATCTTCTATCAAAGATATCATTCTTTGAAGAAGAATGGATCATTTTAGAACATATTCCATCTTTCCAAATTTTAAATTTTTCATCAAAATGATCAAAAAGGTGATTAACATTAATTATACTTGGAACTATTGCGTCTAAGTGTATATTAACACCAAATTCACTGCCTTGTTTGTGTAAGGACATCAAAATAATTTGAAGAATATTTAATATTTCTGTTTTTCCAACAAATGGGTCGCCAACAAGTATTAAACATTGATGAATGTGCATTAATTCAAATATTTGTATAATTTTAAGTTTGAATATATCATGGATATAGATAGATTTAGATGTACATACTGTTTCAAGAGTTTCTAAAAATACTGTATAATCAGAAGGTAACAGGCTAATATTTGGGAACATGTCATGAACTATGTTTCTAAAAATATGTGTATCTATATTACAGAGTTTTGGAAGATTAACATCAATTAACGAACGTAAAAGTAATATAGTTTCATCTTGATCTGAAAAACTTCTCTTTAAACAAATCGTAGTTTTAACAATTGTTTTCATAGAATATAAATTAAAAATATTACATGACTGACACCACAATTGTTCAGATAGTATTTTGTACAGTAAAATTAATTTTGAAGTTAACAACTTTGAATTAGATATACCACCAGCAAAAAATTCAACTTCTACAATTTTATTCATATCTGGTAGTATCATAGTTACTGTTCTAAATAATATTTTTAAGTTATCAGGTATATTAGGATATTTAAATAGACTCAGTTTTGTAATAATACAAATATGTCCAATTTGATTTATTTTTAATGAGGAACCTTCAAACATTGTGATTTTTAAATTTGTTGCTATAACATAAAAAACGGAAGTAAGAATCTGTGCAAGTCTTGATAGGAGATCAATTTTTAATGTATTAAAATTTTCAAAACAAAGCCATGCTCCGCAAGAAATAAATCCTTTAAATATTTGAGATACGAAATTATAAGATAGTGTATTAATACAATTAAATGAACGAAACTGTATTGCAATAGCTTTAGCCAAACTTTTGATAGTTTCTGATTTTCCTGTAGCAGATGGTCCTGTAATGGTACCATATAAATGATACTCATATGCTTGCATAAGAGTATGAAAACATCTATTTGTTAAAGGAGTATTTACTAAATGTTGTTTGTGATAGTTATATTCATATCCATAATTTAAAGTTGTATTAAAAATTGATACTTTTATGTCATCTTCTACTAAATAATATTGTAATTGTGCAATCCACTCAAAATCAGTAGATTTGGTAATATTTTTGTCTAATAATAACTTAATAGTGTCTTTCTGTTGAATTAATATGATAATTAAAGACATTACCAAATTTCTCAATCTTTTTATTGAATAATTTTTTAATTCACCAATTAAGCTATTTAAATGATTAATATATTTTGCATATAAAGAACTCAGAGCTTTAAAATTACATAGAGTAAAACACTCATGTACTTTAGTAGTCCAATAAAGTTGAAAGGTGCAAACAATTGCCATACTTGGAAAATTCATAACATTATTGTATGTAAATGTTTTACTAAATATTTGATAAGATTGGAGAATATTACTTTTTATTGTAGTATTTAGTTCTTTCTCAAAATATATCAACCATTTTTCTTCATGATCATTTCGAACATTAAGAGAAATTAATTTTTCAAGACATAATTCTTCATCATAATCACCAAAAATGGAACAAATATATTTTTCTTTATCAATTTTCATTTTTTGTACACCTTCAAAACATTTTTGTATAGATATATTTAGTGTCTCTAGATTATAAGATTTAAATAATATTTCTTCAATTTCTTTATCAGAAAGAAAATAAAACCTTGGAAAATGTTGTCTCTTAATTTCTATATAATTTTTAATTTTTTGATTTATATATTCAAGCTTCTCAACGATATCAAGTAAAAGTTTTGAAGTTATTATGTTATTGATTTCTGTAAAAGTGGGAGTTTTTGACAGCTTGTTTTGAATATGTTTTAAAATTTCTTTCATTTCTTTATACAAAAGAAATTCTTTGGCTAAATGTACTTCTATGCTTGGATGACAAAGAATAGAATTTAAGGAAAGTAATAATATTTGTATGTAATTCCATTGATTAATAATTTCTTGAATTTTAACGAGGGATATTGAAAAATCTGCCATTAAGGAAGTTATTTCTTTAACAAAATTCGAAGTTTTCATTTCTTCAATTATTGTAAGATGATCTTCAAGTAATAATTCTATATCATCTAAATTAGAAAATATATTCATTTTAGTTTGTTTATCAAAACTTATTTCAAAAGAAATTTTATCCCATTTTTTAATCATTTTCAATAATTTCTGTTGCATCTGTAATTCTCTATTAGCACCTACACTAATAGCTTTATATTTCTCAATATCATCCATTAAATTATATGAAATAATTTTTCTTAAACTAGTTCCAGCATTAGGTGTAAGATTAAATTTGCATATTGTAGACATTTCTTGCCAATGTCGTTTTTGTAAAGCTGGATTACACATACATACCACTAATGGTAAATATTGCTTAAATTCATTGATAGAATTAAGTGCTTGCCAACATAGTTTTAATGGAGCAGGTTGTTGCATTTGATCTGGATCATCTGCAATTCCAGAAAATTTGAAACATTTGTTCAGTGTCACATCCATCTTAATCTTTGTTTTAAACATTTTACTCATTTCAGTAATTCTTTCGAAATAATTTAATGTTTTATTTTCTATAACAATGGCATCCAAACATTCAAAAGGACCATCCAACCATACAGAATTATCTCTTTGCCATTGATAAATAATATCAATAAGATCATAAAATGACACAATTATTTCATGTAATTCAATTACATTTGAAAATTCAGTTTCAGGAAATTTAAATAATGTTTCTTCTTCATTAATTCTTTGCGTTTCATATTTAATTTGATTTATTTGTTTTAGGAGAACTTTATAATATTCAATATATTCTCTAATTCTGTCTATGTCATCCATATTATCCAACACACTAAGTTGAGGAATGATATTATCTACCTCAATGTTTAAATTATTTATTCTTTTCTGCATGTCATCTTCAAGTTCACTTTTCATTGCCTCACACAAAGTATTACTTTGTTTAAATATTGGTTCAATTTCATGTAGCCAATTAATAGTTCTTTTATTTAACTGAATATGATCATCTGACAAAATTGTTATTTCTGATAATGTGCTTAACATGTATATTGAATTCTGGATTTTAGATGTTAGTTCTTTTATTAATACTTGCGATGCATGTAAGATGTAATCAGTTAATTTAATTAAGGATTGTGAATTTTTTGGTACATTTAATATCTTTGTTTTCAAATTTTCAAAATCTGAACAAATAGATTGATTGAATTCTTGATGGAACTTGATAAGTTTATTTAAGAAAATATTAATTATATTGCAAGATTCTTTTTTCAAAAATTCTTTAGCTTTATGTTGCTCTAATTTTCCTACTGTATGATATGTATTTAATATCATTGCATTTGCTTTTATTAAGTAAGTATTATATTCCTGTATATGTTGAAGATATAATTCAAAATTGATTTCTTCTGATGTTGCTGATAATATCTTTTCTCTTAAATTATATGTACAGATGGGATAAAATTCTTCAGTGATGTTCTTTACGTGTTCATTTATAGATTGAAATAAATTATCCAAAGTGAATTGTAATTTGTTATGAGTTTCTTTAATATAACAATCTGATAATTTTATTTCAATACATTTATAATGTACTTTCATATTAAGCCATTCTTCTAATGGCATTAAATCTTGTGCAATTATTCTAATTTTGTCAATTATACTATGATAAAAAGAATATATTTTTTCAATAGCAGGACTAAGGCATAATTGATCATCTTGCATAATAAGTTGAAATTTGATTTGAGGAAAATAATATTCATTACTTATAACATTTAATATGTGATCAATAGATCTTATCATAACATTTAAAATTTGTTGTACAAAAACATGTGTTATGCAACGCATAACTCTGGACAATTGTTTTTTATTAATGTTTTTTAAAATTCTGTTGCTTGCTATAACTTTTGATATTTCAGTATAAAACTGATTAGTTAATGCTAATGATCCTTTCTTAATGTCATTGTTAATTATATTTTGAAAATCAGTTAATGACATAAGTCCAAACTGATGATAATGTTCAAAATTGCAGATAAATATTGGAAGTTTAAGTTGTGCTTGGTTTATAATAATCCTTATTGGTTCTAAATAAAGGTAATATTTTCTATATAATAATTTACTACGTTTGAGGAAAATATTCTTGTTAAAAGTTTTTTGATCATTTAAAAATTTGTGGTTCATATAAGTTATCTTGGAAATATAATCATCATCATTTCTGTGATCTGACAGTACAACTTTATTTAAGAAATCTTGCATATCTTTAATATATATGTCTTTTGTTTCTTTTAACATTAATTTTATTAGTGAACGATATTTTTTTTTATATTTCTTTGATAATAAGTTCAAAATATTTTTTTCCCAGTCAATGGGAAATTCTTTGAAATGAATGTTGCTTAAATACAATTTCATTTTATTAAATATTAAATTATTATCGAATGTGCTAATACTTAAATTATTCGATTGGTATATATTTACCGTATTTACATCCATATTCCACTTAAACAAATTTTTACAACAGTTTTACTCAGTATTTAGGCTGACACAGTTAGATTGGAGTTGCAGACAAAAGAGATCGTGAATATAGAATGTTTTATCAATAATCTTAGCTTTGCTATATTTCTTTAGCAGATATAAAATTAGTTACAGACATTATAGCTGGAATCTATTTGATAATTTAAAATGTAAATATATATTAATTATTAGTTTCTCATTTACGTTTGTTTTGATTATATCAAGATTATGTTAAGTCAGACATTTTAACCTATTTGGCATTCACCCTATTATGAAGGACCACCTTAATATGAAGTATTTTTGTTGACAAATAATTTTTTAATTAAGGAATATTCGCAAATATGAGTAATATTTATATACAAGAACCACCCACTACGGGTAAAGTAAGTATTAATTCACGAAATTTCAATAAATTGCATATCTATTTCTAAAAACATAACCTATATTTAATATTTGTATTTAGACTTCTATTTAGACTATTAATGTTAAATAATTTATGTTATTGTAAAATTAGTTTTATTTCAAAAGTATTTCATATTATTGAAATTAATAAGTTATCACGAATAGGTGATGATGAAAACAACTGTTGGTGATATTGATTTGGAATTATGGGCTAAAGAAACTCCAAAAGCATGTAGAAATTTCATACAATTATGTATGGAAGGCTATTATGATAATACCATATTTCATAGAATTATTAAAGGATTCATAGCACAAGGTGGCGATCCAACAGGTACAGGAGAAGGTGGTGAAAGCATATATGGACAACCATTTAAAGTGAGTTATCTCATGTCAAATTAATTTCTTTCATTTGAAAAAAAGAGATTTATATTATATATATATATTAGGATGAATTTCACACAAGATTAAGGTTTTGCCGACGAGGTTTAATTGCTATGGCCAATGCTGGAAAAGATGATAATGGTTCTCAGTACTTTTTCACTCTTGGTTCGACGTCAGAGTTGCAAAATAAACACACAATCTTTGGTAAAGTTACTGGGGAAACTATATATAATATGCTTAAACTTGAAGAAGCACTTGTAGATGGGGTAAATTCAATGCTTCTACAGGAATATATCAAAAATTAATAGTAAAAATATAATTTGTTTTTCATTTATTTTAGGATGATAGGCCACTGTATCCTCCAAAAATTATAAAAACAGAAATATTGAACAATCCATTTCCTGATATTATACCAAGGACAGTATCAAAGAAAAATGAAGAAATGAAGGATAACTCAAAAACTAAAAGTGCAGGAGTGAAGTAAGAAGAAGCTTTTTGCTTTTTCAATAATATGTTTTATAATGAAACATCCTGTTACAGAAATTTTAATCTTTTATCGTTTGGTGAAGAAGCAGAGGAAGATGAAGAAGAATCTGTGATACTAAATAAAAAGTTCAGTAGTAAGGGAAAGTCTGCACATGATCATCTAAGTGATCCAAAGTTAAGTGCACAACCAGCCGTTGAACCTCCAAGTAAAAAAAAGAAAAAAGATCGTAGTAGCGATTGGGAAAGTGATGAAGAAGAAAAAACTCAAGAAGAATTAGAAGCTATAGAAAAAGAAAAAGAGTGAGTTTTTTATTTTATATTATAACTATATGAGTGATATTTTTCATTGAAAATATTGTATTTTTAGAGCAATGAAAGAAAGGATAAAAAATAAATTAAGAGACACAAAAAAGGAATCTAAAAAAGAAAATTATAAAGTAGATGATGATGAAGATGATAAAAATGTAAAAGAAGATGAATACTACCTTGGCAAGGACAGAGATGAAGAACGTAAAAGAAAAGCGTATGTTTTATATCGCTATCTTTTTTCTAATGTCTTTTTATAATGTATATTTAAATATTTTCAATTAACTATTATATAGGGAGGAAATTAGAAAAGAAATTCGAGATTTGAAACGTGGTGTTCAAAATGAAAAGAAAGCAAAAGAAGCAGATCAAAAATTGAAACAAGCCCAAGAAGAAAAGAAAGAAAAAAAAACGGAGATTATGAAAGAATACATAGAAACTCAAGAGAAATATAAAGAAGCAAAATCGAAATTGCCTAAAAAAGGAAAAAATCGCGAAGACTTTACGATGGAGTTATTAAATAAGTTTAAATCTAAACTTCAAAATGCTAAAGACACTGTAAGAGAAAAATCGCCGATTCCATTAAAAAAAGAAAATAGCAAAGAAGATGATTTTGATCCAACCGATAAATCTTGGATGGTGCATGCATTACATTGTGAAGAAAAAGTACCTGTTCTTGCCAAGGATGCAAGCACAAAAGATGATGATTGGTTTGAAATTTATGATCCCCGAAATCCGCTTAATAAACGACGAAGAGGAGAGAGATCACATAAATCGAAAGATGATAAAAATAGACGTCCCGATTCTCGTCGCAAATGACATGTATTATAAATAATATTTTACTATAATGCGCAAGTAATCATAGTATTTTTACATTATTTTTTTTTAAGCATAGAAATGTGCAAAATGTATGTTATATTAAATACATTTTTTTTAAAAATAAAAATTATATATTTACTGAAAAAGTAAATAATATTTTGGAACACGTTAGTTTTATATTTTAAAACTTCAAAATTTAGTTTTTGCATTAGTTTATTTTCAGTGCTATATGATCGTGTTTACTATTACCTTTAATATTTTGATGGCAAAGACGGATAACGTTAGTGCCATGATTTTGTGTGCAACTAGGCATATAGATCGTAGCTTATCCCGGCAGTAAAACTTGATAAGACATTGATACAAAGGACGACATATTCGTTTACTGATTCAGTCGATCTGTTGACAGCGAACGGTACGCATCGTATATTTATATAACTTCGCGATTGAATAAATGTAATCAAACATTCATTTAATGAATTATACATTTATTTTAAATATTACGGAAAGCAAGGGTGAAGAATTTTTGTAAAAAAAAGAAATTTTATTTAAAATATAAATTTTATTTACTAATTACTGATCAAAAGAATTAAAAAAGGAGGAACAATTTTTATTGTTAACAGATTGTTATTGTTCTTTATAAATTACGTACTATGACCTGTTAATGAATCATCATTGAATATAATGTGTTCTTGTGCGTGTTATTATTTTTAATACTATCCACGTGTGAAAGTAATGGTCCTGAGTTTCTATGCCGCGCTTCTGCAAGGAGAATGCCAACGACGCCATTAAAAATAGATATACTTGGTATGCTTCGTATATTTTATCAATCACTTTTGGAATGTAATATCAAGGCGATAATCGCTATTCACGTTGTTGATAATCCGTTTCAATTCTCGCGTAGGCATATCTACATAACAAATAATGATGAAAATTCATTTCTCAGCATATATTACATATTCATGCCGATGTAAATTGCGTGTTTCAATTATCGTGATCTTTTACCGTGATACTTTGACTTTTTATTCTTTGTTTTGCCACGTGGCGCGCGAAATTGTGCGCGTTACAAATGACAAAGCATACATGTGTATCGTTATATGTATACGCTCGGTCAGCAGAGCTTTAAACACGGCCCATCAAAATCGTATCGCATTGATAGATGAATTAACTAATTATGCAACGACAGTATTTTATTTAGGCTACTGTAAGTAGCCAGGAAATGTATTGCCCTTTGAAACGAAATACAACACATTCATTCTTCAATTATATAGATTCATCTTTAATGTAGCTCGCAGTAGCAATTGTAACAGCAGCATAAATGATCTTCCTTCTCGCGCAAGATACAAGATTTTATTTTTAAATTTTCCTATCGTAGCCTGTCTGTATGTTTCATCCGTATGCGTGCATCACGATAAATTAGGAACAATATCTTTTTTGCTGCCATTCAGAAGATAATTTTGCCTGTGATCAGGTGATGATAATTTTATCAAATTTCGTGCTTTTCTTATTTACAAAGATCCAATAGATAACTGAAGTATATGATAGAAATCTAATATTAGAAGATTGTTTAAAAAGATTCTAGATAAACGTTAGAATAATTGTTCGATGCATTTACATCCCATGCTTGTATGTGTTTGTGAATTAAAACCACAATTACAAAGAAATCATAGTTACAAATTGTTCTGCTGCGCAACATTCGCATGTTATTAATATCGATTGAATAAACAGCGTTATTCGAACGTTTAATTCCATATTTATGTATCTACGAGAGCGAGATAAAAACATTATCGTTCTTTTTATTCGTAATACATTCGTTATCGACGAAATTTTATGAAAGAACAAATCATCAGCAGCGACATTTTCGGAGTTAGGATTGCTTAAAGCACGCATGCCTATGGGCATGCGAGATTTCTGAAAACAATAGCCAATATTCAGGAAAATAACAGCTGTGGCAATTTATAAGTATGTGTTATCGTTATTCGATAAATACAAAGCAATATCGATAAAGTCATTATTCTCGTTTGCGGGACACTGCAAGTTCGATGACTGCACTCGATCGAGAACATGAGACTCTCGCTTGATTTCGCTTTTACAATTTTTCAATCAGTTTTGCGAAACTTCCCAATGATATTTCACTGTTTAAAGACATTATATATAATTAAAGAGTCACGTCGAAAAGAATGATTTCAATCAAACGCACAATTTATATGACAAATGTTGCAAGCCTTTGCACCATACAGATATATGCTGTCGTAACTGATTATTATTTATCACGAGTGTATCTCAATCCAAAACATACTATCTTTTTTATTGACTACGGCGTCAATAAGATAGCGATTCAAAATATTGTCGATTGATATTACTCGTGGCACCGTACCAAAATATAAACTTTCATTTCTAACAAAGGAATGACGAAATTTTCTATTTATTTCTGAAACTCTTATTTGCATGACTCAGGTATACAGAATGTCCTATAGTTATTTCAACAAAGACTCAGATAACAAATAATTAATTTGTTTCTAAATGAAACAAATGCAAGATCGGCAGAGAGAAAACTAAATTAAATATTTGATTTAGCGCGCGTTTTCACGCGATTGCGTCACGATCTACAATCTATATCTACGCGATCATACGCTACCGAAAGTAGAAGCGATCACACTATTCTGAATCGTTTTAAATAAACGAACAAACAAAAATTGGCTTATTAGGAGCACCGAAAATAGCACGATTGACGCGTACAATTTTATCTACGACAAAAGAATAATCGTGCTGTGTATTTTGGCGCCGCACGTTGTTCGCGATGTTCATGTAATGTTGTAAATAAATAAACGAGCATCTATTGCGACGTAATTATTTATTTATCCTTCACTTTACTTTTCTGAATTCTTCAGTTTTTTTTTTTTTTCTTTTTATCATAATGGACTAAAGTAGGTATAAGTAGTTGAGAAAGAATTGTTTCAACTATCTTTGTAACATTTTTACAACTAATTTCGAGCAGCCATTACGTCAGAAGATATCTCATAAGAGTTTTACAATTCGTAGAGGACGGTGTTCGTCCGAGAGATTGGCAGCCTCGTAGGTCGCAGTACAAGGTGCCTCTGAGATTATTTCGATTATGTTTACTGGGAATATTCTTTCCCGCGGTATTGGTGGCGGGGCCAATGTACTTGCGATATCGTGTCTATTCTGAGCAACTGTACCCTTTAACCGTCTCTGATCAGAGGCTTATCGACGCGAAAGTGTCTACTACGTGGTGCCAGGTAAATAAATTCCCCTCCTATCTGCAAGTGTATTTTCTAATTCTGGCTCTGGTCCATCGGA